CCTTAGTAACCATGTGTGGATACCCCAAGCCCAATACCCTGTATAGTGAGTTTGAGTGTGTGCGTGCAAGTACAGTTGCACACATGTTGTGAACAGTCATGTTGAAAATCAACGTGTGAGAAACATGACAAAACATGTCAAAACAAATGTGTTAGCTCAAGCCTGCGATCGAAGCAGAAAAATCAACGGGAACGGGGGGTCTCTGGGTGTGGATGAACCTTTCATCCCGTGTCCCAGCTTGTCTGACGCCCCTCCGTGGACTGAGCCCCCCTGACCCGCTACAGCACTGCACCTCTGCCTGGAATCTGCCTTGGACCATTTCGAGATCGTGGACGAGCTGCGCGCAACTGAGGTGGCAGAAGGCTGGATCCGCCCCGTCCCTGGGGGCGTTTCATCCTCTCCAACCACTACCGCAAATCGGCGGCGGGGAAGCTGGGTGTTGTCTTTGCTCAGGGCCGGCCTCCGCGTCTGGTTGTGGACAGCTCTGTGTCGAGCGTCACTGCTCACACCCGCCTGCCCAACAGGTCCACCAATCCAACCCTCAACCATCTCAGACTCTGCCTGCCTTCTGGTATTGCGCAAGAACGCTTGCACGCACTGGTGCTCGATGTTTCAAAGGCCCACAGGCGTATCTTGATTCGTCCGTCTGACCAAGGCCTTCCGTGTTTTCATCGCAGAGACACCTTATACCAGTGCCTGACCCTGAATTCGGTGTTCGTGCCTCGGGCTATCCGTCTGGCGGGCATTTTGACCCGCCTCGGCCACCGCCTTTGTGGCTGAAAGGTCTCTGTCACTTGCTCCGCTGTTTCCTGCATTTTCAGGAGGACTGTCGTGTTTGGGCCCATATTAATCATATCCCTGGCATCTTGAATGACCTGGCTGACAAGCTTAACCGCTCTGTCGACCCGCCTGCACTGGGTTTCCAGCCTGGCCAGTCTCGCTCTCCGCCTTTGCCTTCCCTGGCATTTCTGCCCCTCATTCAAGTATACCCGCCTGGCTTGGACATACGTCCCCTGTTTGGTGCATTCATCTGTCTCCCTGCGGATCAATCCACTGCACTGTCTTGAGTGGCTCTTTGGCCGGTGATGCAGCCCGTCTCCTTCTGCCTGTAGGTCCGTAGTTCTGCAGGTTCTGTCGGTCCCTGCCTGGGTCTGACTGATGGTGACTGAACTGTCACTGTCATCTTTTCTGCCACTGGACTAACACCATTAAAGGAAAAAGGGGAGCGCGCCTGCAGCTGTTCTGTTTTTTCCTGTGTCTGAAACTTTAAACTGACGTAGCGGACTAGTCTGCCTGCCAAACGATTCTGTATGTATATCTGTGTGTTTGGGTTGCGGACGCAACGGAAGGCTGATGCTGCAGGTACACTGTCTGTCTCCGCCTACAGCCATCAGCCTCAGCTTGCAATGTTTTCTGACTCCCACCTGCCATCCCCTGTCACCGCCTGGATTTTGGCCTTTCTGCCTCTGGGCTTTGCCCTTCGCACTCTGTCCCTCGCCCTGTCCTTTCTGCCTGCTTTGCGAGTCTGGACTTCTGCCTTGGACTTTCCTGTGTTGGCCTGGAGCTCTGCTCCTCTGCCCGTGTTGCAGTCTGCATCGCTGTCCTGTCATGTTTAGTCATGGTGGGCCTGTGATGCAGCCTGTCTCCTTCTGCATGTAGGTCCGTAGTTCTGCAGGTTCTGTCGGTCCCTGCCTGGATCTGACTGATGGTGACTGAACTGTCACTGTCATCTTTTCTGCCACTGGACTACTGCGCGTCTGCAGCTGTTCTGTTTTTCCTGTGTCTGAAACCTTAAGCTGACGTAACGGACTCGTCTGCCTGCCAAACGGTTGCAGTTTTGGATTCGTTGGGCCCAGATCAAGATGTATGGAAGGTTTTGTTGGTCTCGTTGGTCTGTTTTGAAGCATCATCTGAATTATGCTCATTTGCCACTCTTGCTGTCCGCTGAGTATGACCGGATCGCTGAAGCAGTGAGCCGGTTCGACGAAGATTAGCTTTCCAGCTTTTGCCCCGCAGTCTTAGCATCAGCTGGTTCGTGCAATCTTCTAAACTTGATCGTGGAGCTTGTTGACCACATCTCTGCTGAGCGGCGAGCACTGTGCTAGCCACACAATCACCTTGCCACATTGCACGCGAGCGGCGACGTCGAACGTGGCCCGTTAGGTATTACCTTTCCTTCGCGAAAACAAATGAGCAATTGGGAGCCTGCAACACGAGACAACAGAACCTGAGTAACTCAGGTCCTTCTTCAGCGGCGGCTGCGAAAGATCGGTCCGTGCCCAATGCCGACTAGTACCATGCTATGGAATTGGCCCTGTGGTGAGGTCATCTGGACGCCCAAGTATCTGTGTACCCTCGAATGTGTGCGGCTCAGACTCTGGAACCGCTTCAGTGGTGCCGCTTCCATGTTTTGGCTACCTGATTGTTAAAAATTGTTCAAACTTTGAGATGTTCTTCGCTGCCGAGTCGCAGTTCGGTATGTTTTGGCTTTTGTAACATGTTTCATGCCTTGAACGAGAAAGAGGAATTCAATTTCAGTTGCTGGCTTCTGCTTACGACCCCCCCCCCTTCTTGGGGATAGTTGGGGCATTTTTCAGCTATCGCCGGTGATGACGATCCAGGTTGGAGAGGTGACTTCAGCAAGGTTCTCGATGGGGGGTGCCTACTATAGAGCCTGTCCTTTTCTCATTACGGCGCTCCTGTACGGAGCTTAGGATACTTCCAAACCCATATGCACTAAGTGTGAACATTGACCGTGCTTAGACAGGGGAGAGCGGGACAGACGCGAGCAGCAAGTGCATGAGAGGCTCTCACAACTGTACAGACCTGCAAGTCAACAAAAACTACTGAAGACCCAAAACCTGCGCCCAGAGACCCAACGGCCGAAAGCCATCTCCCAAAATAAATTCCTCCTAGAGATTTTCAGAGCTCTGATGCAAGTGGAACCCGAAGCCTTGGAGTCGGCCCTAAACTATCAGATAGATAGACAGTAGAACCCTGAGACCCACACCCAAAAACCCTCATATGACATACATACATGAAATGTGACTTGGGCGATATTCCTTCATGTTGAGTTATTGGTCGCTTTGGGTCCGGAGCTTCAGCATCAGTGATTTGGTGAAGATGCGGCATTGTCCCAGCGTGGAGTTTGTAGTTCGGGCTCTCGTAACCCTAGGTGTCCAAGTGCCTTGAGAATTACTGTAAGTACAAATGATTTCGGTAGTAATGCTGTAGTATAGGTTGGGGCTTAAGGGCATACGTCTTAGAGCTCTAGGGTTGAGGGTTTTCAGGTTTTCGGGTTTTGAGCTTTACGCTGAACAAAGGTGTGTGGGCGCTGAGAACGGGATTTTGGCTCGGGGTGGGCGCTATACAACCCTAGTAGGGATTTGCCTGGAGTGTTTTCCTGGCTGGGGAAAGGAAAAGGAGATGGAACCGACTTCCCCCCAAACCCCACCGCTTCTTCCAACCCTCGCTTGCCTCTCAGAGCAGCATGTGGGGGCTGTGTGCGAAGGATGGATCTTGCAATCATCATGTCCGCAAATGAAGGGCTCCAGCTGATTAAAGCACAAGCCTTGGGCTATCTGACGCCTCGTGCGGTACTATTACTTTAGGTGTGTATCTTGATTTGAAGCCTCCTAGCGAGTGCTTGTTGTGTGCTTGTATACACCAACTGCCGGTTGCTTGCAGCCGAAAGATTTAGAAGTCCCACCCGCGTCCCGCCCCGGCAACAGGGACTGCGGCGAACGCTCGTTGCGTCCAGATGTTATTTATTGCGCGCCAATGTGCGTGGGAGTCGGCAGGGAAGGCCTTGTCTATGTTAAGTATCTTGCTGCCAACAGTGTCCGCATGCTGCGATTCAAGCATGGCCTATTGAAGTGCGGCAGATTCAAGCACGGCCGATTTGAGCACGCCTTATGCAAGCACACCGTGGCAAAATCAGACAATTCACCTCAGCGTGGTGCCGGAGTGTACCCCGTGGCTTTACTTCATGAGCGTGACTGCTAGTGTTTGTTTCCATGAGACCATGTGCAGTCAGGGGCCAACGAACTCACGGGCCAAATCACTCGGACAGTGCCTGACTGATTTCTTTGATTCTCGTGCTGGGTCGGGCTTGTGGCGACAGCTCGCCTGGCGCTTGCCCATGATGAGCTTGCAGTCTTTGCACTTAGTAGCCAATCCTGTTCTCATGTAACGTTTTTGACCAATGAATTTAACCGAGTGAGTCCACTGATGAGGTTCAGGAGTTGTTGCCCAGCATTCCACCATCATGATTTATCATTCGCATTGCCGGCACAGCCTTGGCATATGCTCCGTATTTGCACAGTATTTGTTCATTTCGTCACTGATTAACAGCCGTAGCTGACAGCAGCTATGAGTTTCTGGCGACTCCGCTGAAACACAGCATGAAACAGCACCGTTTGTCCATACTTGAGGTTGAGCGACACGCGCTTGCCTGTCGGTGATGGTTCTTGGATTTTTGTCTGGCAACTCCGGGGACCGGGCCAGAGGCGGCATAGGATTTCTTTCATGCCCTGCAGCGTATGCTGCTTGTAAACATGTTTCTAGGATCTCGAAATGTGTTGCGTCTTGCTAAACGGTAGCAGCGGGGCATGACACCTCGCTTCCGCTTATAGGGCGACAATGCAAAGCACTGTAAAGCACTGGCGCAGAGAAGGCGGATCCTATGCAGTCCTTAATGTTTTTGGGCTTGGTCCCCGCGAGAGAAGTGGCTTACGCGACCAATTGAGTTGGTTACTGTTCCGGAGGGGGTCGTCCGGTTGCCCTTGCTGACGTTTTGGGACCTCACAGTGTTAGGGTGCGCCAATGATAACGGGTTGAACTTGCCTAACTTGGTATCCACTCATCAATTGCAGATCATGAACTCATTTCTTGCAGAGAGGGGCTTAAAACATAAGTAGCAATCAGCAAACTAAATTGGCATCAAAAAAGGGAGCTACTTATTTTTGCCACTCCTACCAAATAAAAAGCCGGCGCGATGTGAAAGCTAGACAGAACGAGATGCAGGGAAAAGGAAGGAAAGGATGGCAGGAAGGAGGCAGAAGGGAGGAAGGAATCAAGGAAGGAAACAAGGAAGGAAGGAGGGAAGGACGAACGGACGGGCAGACGGAGGAAGCAGGAAGTAACAAAGGAAGGAAACAACGAACATCAGGTCAAACGCAAGCAATCACACCAGCGACATAACAAAGATGATTTTTTGGCAAAGCGAGCTAGGAGAGGTCATAACAGAAATCAAAGTGGGCCTCAAGAAAAGGAAGCCTTTTCAACCTAGGCGGCGCAAGTTTGGGAACGAGCGTGGAGAGCTCATCAGAGAGAAAATGCCAAGGAAAATGCAGCGGAATACTTTGCCGAGGTACAAGGGGCTAGACCACAAGACAACACCATACAACAACACATCCAGAGAAAGAGATGGCTTGTCTGTTCGAGCAAGATGGAAGAGAACGCTCACACAGTCAGAGAACTTGCTGACACCATTGATGCTCAACAGAATAACAGAGCTCAGGATAGATTCAGAGCAGAGCTAGTTAAGTGGCTGCCAGTTGAACATGGAATGTCAATGTTAGCGCGCTACGATGGCATGATTCAACACGGCAGTTTCCCGGAGACATGTAAGGATATCTAAACAAGCCTATCTAGTAGCAAATTGCGCAAGAGGAGACGCAACACAAATGCACAGTTCCCCACCAACTGGCTTATGTTTATAGTTGCGTATGTTTCAGGGATTCAAAAAATTCAGTTCAGCTTGCGACACCGCAAATCAACCGCACAAGTTATCTGTTCTGCAAGAAGATTATTCATTTTCAAAAGCAGCGTGCAAAGCTATGCTTTGAGAAAGTTAGCCGAACAAATCTGTTGCCAGCCCTACGCAGAGTGAAGGTGCCAGGACATGTGTTCCAACTTATGGCTAGCATGTATCAGGACCCACGGTTCAGGCTTACAATGAGCAATCATTCGCCAGATTACGAAGCACGTGAATTTGTAATGTGGCAGGCATGTCCACTTGTTCCATCCCTATCTGCGCTCCTAATGGCCGGTATGTTGCATGACATCAAAACCAAACTAGAGACACCGAAGCGAAGAATCGATCAGAGGGATAGAATTCTCATCATACGTAGATGACACATTGATTTCACACGCGCGCCATCAGCAAACTCTTACGTACATGCACTGCAAACGGAATCAAACTGTCACAAGATGCGATGTGAACTACAAGAAGTGTATCAACCTGGCAGTAAACCATGGGTCAATCAGGACCCATCGGCAATCATTCAATCAATCAATCACCAGTAAACCGAGGTCAATCGAGCGTAACAGACACGGATGGCATGCCCGTGTTGCGCCGCAACACACCTAGGATGTTTCCTGATAGACATTATGGATGCCCAATGGAAGATATCATATAACTGCAGATGATATTGTTACAGTACAACGTGCACAACTCTGTGAAATGGAAAGTAAGGGCCCTTGATTCCATGCTGAAGAGTAGGGTTCTTGATGGAATAAGATGTGTGCACTTGACTTGCAGATCGAGAAGATCTGAACAAACTTGAACAAACTAAACGTTTTCCAGATAAAAGGCCTCCGTCACATCTTGGAAAGCCCACCCTGATTTGTAGATCATACACACACCTATCGAAGAGTCATCGATTTACTGAGAAATGATCTCCGTATCAAGGTTGAGAAATTCTCTATCACCTGATGAAAGGAACTGGGGACACGCATTGCAAATCCAACAAGGCGACCCCAAGAGACGAGTTATCTTGGAACCAAGCATTATTCTACCCAGGCAGGAACCAGACGGCCAGAAAAACCCAAGAATCTCAGAATTAGACGAGACGTTCAAAGGTACATGTCTTCTGCTAACTAGAGCGGAGCCATACCAAGAAAAGCAATTAGCACAGGCAATATGTTATCGGCAAGCAATATTTGCCACAAAGCTTTTCTTTGACAACCAAATATATGCTCCTCACCGAATGCCGCGCGCAGTGTATGCTGCCAACTCACCGCAAGGCAAGTCGCCCACCTGCAATTAATTTGGGCTCACATTTTGTATCCCACAGTACCATCGCCGAAGATGAGTACACAGTAAATGATCCATTGTGTCAAAGCAGTACAGCGAGGTAGTTCCTTTTTTAAATTCAAAAAGCGATCCATAGCTTTCACTGATCACATCATCAATCGACAGAAAGTGTGCTGCGAGCAGAAACCTTGTGTTCAGGAAGCCGCGTGCTTTGAGGTTTATTTTTTTGTCATTGTTGCATTCTGGCCTGAAAGTTGCGTGCGTGTGTGGCACAAGGTGGCATTGTTGGCACCAGTATGAAGAGGGCAGCGGTGTGTGCCTTATGCCTTGTCATCAGTCCGGTGCACGGTGCTGGCAAGTCAATAGTTGCACCTCAAACCAGTTTGGCAATCAAATTTTGTGCTGTTCGAATATATCTTGTTATGTGCTTGGGTGGGCGATTATGTCCCGAAGCCTTTGAAAGCCGAGCACCGAGGCAACCGCTTCGCAGAGTAGGACCTTTGACACGTTTAGCAGGTAAACATGGACTGAAACATGCCATCTCTGCGTCCATTGTGCCGAGGTTTGGGACAGAAGTTGTTTCAAGCTCGCAAGGCCCTACGTGACCTCGCAAGCTGGGCGGGAAGCTTGGGTTCCCGATGTTCGGGCTCACATGCTGCAACAAGCTTGTGGAACAAGTTGACCTACCCACTGCAGGTTCAGGCTCATAAGGGCCGACATGATGTGGCAGAAATGAGGGTGCAGGGTGACAAGAGCTGATCACAACCTGCTGCGAGGATACAAAGGCGCTTTCGGCTTGGCTTGAGTTCAGGAAGATGTGGGGGTGCTGCATTTTGAGCAAGCGAGACAGGTTATGAACGTGCCTCACAGTTTGGCTAGCAACTTCGCAAGGCAGCAGTCTCATGCTCATGCCGCCGTCAAAATATCTAAAGCCAATCTTCTCTTAATCAGGCAACTCTTCACGTGACGCTTTGCTTTCGTGTTGGTGTGTCGCCATGGGCAGATGTCGGAAGTGCTGTTGCTGCTTGTGCTGCCCCTGCTGCTTTTGGTTCGGCACTTTGCAAGCATTTCTTGTGTCGCTGCCTCAGATAGAAGTACGCGCCTGACCCTCATGATGATTTATGTTTGATTTGTGTCCTGGGATTAGGGCTGGGGCGACTTCTCATACACGTGCGACATCACGACCTTGACTGACTGGTCAGGCTTGGTGCCATTGTGGCACTGCTCTTTTCACTGTTGTTGGCCGATCGCCAAGCCAGCCTGGATGAGGTCACCGACCTGTGTGGCTTGGACTAGGAGAATTCTATCTTTAAGTCACCATATCAGTAAGCTTATAGCACTTCGGAGAGGTGAAGCAGCCGCGTTCTTTATGGACACAAAGCCCCATGCTCAGTGCGGAAAGCTGGCAAACAAGGCCTGTCAATGATTTTGGGCAGCACTAAGCGAGGTTGGCCCATACCATCGCTTCGCAGGAGAATCTCAATGCATGGCACGAGGTGGGTGCACTTGAAGGGTTGTCATTTAGGTAACGCTTGCATGCTCCTGCCACATACTCTCCAGACCATGGAGCAGGTGTGCCGCGAAGTTTTCCAGGGGATGGATTCCAAGGCCTTTTTGCTGGAATCTAGAGTCCGCATTGCACAATTGCATGTTGCCTCATTTCTATGGCTAGACGCAGCAGCTCCTTCGTGAGATGCGGTCCATGGGCCAGCACCGGAAGGACTGGCTAATCGTGCCGCGACCTTTCGTTTATTGCCTTGGATCCTGACCAGGACCTTATAGATTGGGAAATAGATGCGCCTTGGAACTGCAGAGCACATGTTCCAAAACATGAGGACAAGAACTCACAATGTCTGAGCGTGAATGAGGGACGAAGTGATGGCTGGAAAGAGCGTGCAATGCAGAGTGTCCTGAACGGCAGCCTGAAAGAGAAAACAGAGCTGCCGGACCTGGCGACCTGGAAGAACCAGGATCAAGAGGGGCTGTGTATGTATGTTTTGTATGCAGGATTCGGTAAGCACTTGGCTCAGGTTGCATTGGATGAGATTCCAACAGCTTTCAGGCAATCCAAAGTTCTCAGATTCGATGGTCGGAAGTTGCTGCCGAACAGCATGTTCAATGCGACCTTGGCTGACATTGTACGACTCTTGGAAGGCAGATGTTACAGGTCTGCAGCGGTCTGCAGTAGTTTGCCCGGGGCCCTCAGAGCTTGACTCTGCAAGCACACGAGCCCGAGGACTTCACCCAGACTCAGCCGACAGCACCATCATGTTTGGAAGCCTTGATGCGCAGTCTGGGGAGCTGCACATGTTGCAAGCTTGCATGTGCTTTCTTGTCTTGAACTCCTTCCTGGCATTTTGAGGAAGCATTGACTTGAAGGGGTCAATTTGTCGGATTTTGGCGCTCTTGCCGTTATCGCGATTCTTCCCGCGGATAGGGCACACAGCGCTTTTCCCAGCCCTGGCCTTAACATTCGTGATGTTTTTATCACGCATGTGAAGTTCACCCGCAAGCGTGGCTGAAGGTGATGAGAATAGTCCTGGTGTCCTTGACGCCGCTTGGCATGCCAATTCCAGCTCATGCGGCAAAACTGACAGCATGCGCCGTGGAGAGTGGCCTCAAGGAGTGTCTGTCAGTTCCAGACCCTGGCCGGAGTAGCGCGTGATCCGCAAAAGATTAAGGATAAACTAGGACCTCTGTGCTTCGCTGAAAAGTTGTTGCCATTTGCTGCTGACCACGTGTTGAGGAGAATTAGTTTGGAGAGCTGTGTATACTACTTGCAGACCGCTTTGTTGCAGGACCGGGCAATGTGAATCTGCGACGGATACCTCATTTTGACGGAGGCGGAGCAGAGGAAGTGCTACCAGACTTTCTGATTTCTATGTCTTTTTGCAAATTTTGAATGCAGGCCTCAATGTCGCCGAAAAGGTTGGCTTGGCGGGCCAATCAACGAGACTTGCCTGAACCAGTCGATGTGACATGTCGTCAGAAGCAGCGTTCAAACCAAAATGAGATTGCGTGATCTTGAATGCAGGGGCAAGGGCTTGAGCTTGCTGTGGTTCGGCGTCTCCCCTATTGGGTGGTGGAATTCTCTGCACACGGACGTGCAGGATTGCGGGGGTCCGATCTGCATGGCCTGATTCTGACAGACTGAACAGTTGAAAGTGCCTGGAGGACAATGTCCTGATTGAGCTGGTTTCGCCAACGAACGTGTATGTCTTCCCTCGTGAGTTGTTCCTGAAGACGCCTCCCGATGTCAACATTACGGGGGAGTATCACAAGATCAGGCAGCGCGGCTGCAGGTGTGACCTTTGTTGTCAGCGTTGGCCACGAGCTGGGTCAATACGACCCCATGTGGCCAGGTTAGAGCCAGGACAAGGGGTGGCCATCCCCAGCAACTTCCTCCACACAGTGGAGCACCTGGAGGAGTTCTTTCTGTGCCGCTTGAATTTGCCTTGCCTCCTTGGTGCCGCCAGCATGTCAGCATGATGAACCTTGGGGAGGAGGATCGCCTGGCGGTGAACTACTTCTTTGAGCCTGAGCCAGGTGCTATGCAATGGCCAGATATCCATGTCTTGGTCTGAGTCAGGTGTGAGTTGCAAAGTTTTCGTGAAACATCATGTCCACCCTGCTGTTCCTAGGGAGAAGGCAATTACTACACGGGAATGGCAGCAAAGAACCAGTCGTCCCTTGGTGCCGACAGCAACAGTCAACAACGGTCAACGGTGCGTGCAGAATCGCACTGCTTCAGTATGTCCGGGAATCAATTGCTAGGCACTTGGCCATGAGATCCTTGTGGTTCGCATCGGCAGGGAAGCTCTGGGACAGGCTGGCGAGCTGTCACCGCTGTCGTATTCAGCTGGAACATGTACGGGCAGGTACAAAATTGGCATGGCAATGTATCTTGGTAACATCTGGCCCAGCCTCATAGAACACCTGAAATCAGTCTGGCATTCGAGGCACAGCTGGAAAATGGAGGTGCTTTAGACTCGAAGCTTGACAACTGCCACAAGAGCAAATGTTCAAGCGAGGCAAAAAGGGTGTGCAGCCTGTGCAGCCGGTGGCATTGATAACGCAGGCTCTATTTGTGATTTCCACGGTTAGCAATGCATGCTTTAAGCCCGGAAAAGATCAAGAGGAAACGCCGGCCGTCGATATCCGATAATGTCTCCGCATCCTTGATGGGCTCGGCGTCTCGTGTCATATGTCAACTCCCGGCCACCATTCTCTCCTGTACTGTAGGAGATGCCGCTATGCTATGCTATGCTATGCTGGCCACCCCGACCTGTGTGTTCGCTGGAGCGTAACCCCTGCGGGATCTGCCACTTTGTTGGTTTTGACGCTGAGGGCAGATGGCAAGTCCCCTCCCTGAGCTGCGCGACCCTTGTACCAACGTGGTGGTATCTTCTCCCCCGATATCTCTCCATGGAGGCCCGAGGATGGACGACGAGCGCATCTTGACTTTGTGCAATTGGGATTTCACTCTCCGCCATTACCAGGTTCAAACCTGGGCCACAGCCGTTGGATACCAAAGGTCCTGAGGTGGCCATTGGTGAGGTTGCTAACGCGTCGCTCGGAGACGCAGGCACAACAGGTCTTGCTTTAAAAGTCGGCCTTGCAACTGCATCTCGCTGCTGTTTTGGCAGACTTATTCTTTTTAGCGTGTTTTTTGTTTGTTTCATGCATTTCTCCTTGTTGCTTCCTGCTTTTCGCTTCTGGCTTTTTGCCTTCTGCTTTTGTTTTCTGCTTGTTGCTTTCTGCCTGTTGCTTCTTGTTTCTTGCTTGCTGCTTTTTGCTCTCTCTTTCTTATCTTTCTTGCTTCTTACTTTTTGCTGTCAGCTTTTTGCTTCCTATTTCTTGCTGCCTGCGATCTCCTGAGTGCTCATTGCTCTCTGTTTTAGCTCCCTGGTTCTCGTTGACTGCGCTCAGCTTCCCGATCGCTGCTATCTGCGATTGTCGTTTTTTGCTTCTTGCCTCTTTCTTTCTGCTTAGTACTTGCCGTTTTCCGTCATGTGTTACAATTTTTCAATATTTCTCATAATGTTCAGCATTTTCATATTTTCCATCCTCTTCAGAAGTTGCCATGTCTTTCATCATTTTCAACAACTTGAATTCATGATTGTTCATCAAATCTATATTTGGTAATGATTCTGCATCCTTCCTCATTCCATGCTAAAATCAGGAAAAGTGATGAATAATCATGGAAAAAGCTGAAACATGTTGAATCATCATGCAAATTGATAAAGGAACGATGATGAATTATGAAAAATCATGGCAAAAATGGAGAAATAAGAAAATTACGGCACATGATGGAAACTGCTGAAACATGATGGAGAATGATTCAACATGATGTATATGATGAAGAATTGTGAGAATCTCAACAACAACATCAATAATGAAGAACAAGTATGAACACAATGGAAAATAATGAACTCATCTTAAATAATGAATAGTGGTCAAGCATGGACGGCCTTGAAAAAAAGGCGCGGGGGTTTTGGCGGCGAGGCCCCCACCCCCTAATTTGCAAGCAAAATGAGCTGTGTAGCCATCCCTGATGCTGATGACACGACGCTTCTTTGACACGTCCAGCGTAGATGTTGTAAAAAAAGCGGTGGGGGGAGGGGGCAGCCCCTCCCATGTGCAACCAACATGATCTGTATAAACATTCCTCATTGCAAACATGCTGATGGCGTGATGCTTCTTTCTTACCGCAAGCGTGGATGGCGTCCAAAAAGGCGTCGGGGTTGGGCGGGGGGTCCCTCCACCTTGCAAACAAGAAGGATAAAGGTGATGCAAGATGACGGAAACTATTGAAAGACTATCAAGAACACATTTTTTCCATTATTTTTCGGTTTCACAATTTCACAAATGTTCATATTTCATTATTAATCATGCTTTTCATGATTGTTCATCACTTGTCATGATTGTTCATCATTTTTCTTTTTTCATCATCTTTCATGATTTCTTGAATGTAAAATCGAGCTCTCGCCTGAGACCTTCTCAAAAGCAAGAGAAAATCCAAACAAACATCAAATTTCAAATTTGTGTGTTGTTTGGCTCGTACTGCGAGCCGGATCCTGCTGATTATCCATCTAGACGGTCGATGGTTGGTGCCCGCGTGAACCCCCCGCGAGGTTCTCCTGATTCTATCCTTCGCTACTGAAGGCATTCCCGACTCTTTGGAAAAGGTCGCCAAAACCAAGTTCACCCTGAAACTGATGCGGAGTCGCGGCTCTCTGTTGAGGTGGAATTGAGCCGATGCCGTGTCTGTCCATAGTGCCTCCGTAAAAGACGAGGCATCGAATGGCTGGGAAGTTTCAGGGTTAGAACAAAAAGGCGTCACAGCCGACAGAATATTCCAAGGCCGGCTAGCACTTTTCGACAAAGGCGCGTGAGGTCCTAGGTGGAACCTGCGTGCGAGACTCACCATAAAAACGCGCGTCTATACACCCTTGTTGCCGAAGATTTCAGGGTCTGACTGTGCAGCCTGGTTCTTCCGGTGTCGCGCCTTCTGGAGACGGTCCTGTTTTCTACAGGATCTGGAGCCTGAGCTGGGGTGGTTTGAACACTCTTCCAAGACCTGTTGCCCGCCACTTTGGGGTGACAGCAACTGGTCCAGCGGGCCCCAACGTGGGGTTGGCACGAGCCCTGGGCAGCTGCCTTGTTTTTACAGGTGATCACGAAGTTGTTTCATGAACAGGACTCCAAGCTTGGTACGGGGGCCCGTCTCGTCTGTCTCAGGACTTAGGACAAACAGACGTGCAAGTCACGCTTATGATTCAAACTGGTCCACCCGCGGCTTGTTCTACACTATTGAGTCCTTAACACATCGTGTTCCAGCAAGTAGGCTTTCCGAAGCGGAGAGTGCTGTAACACTCCTAGCGGTGCAACTCGATGCCATGGTCAGCAGCAAGAGCTACTAGAAGCTGAAGACCTGTGCCAAATGACTTATTGAATTGGCTTTTCCTCAGAAGCGGTCAGGCTCTCTGCAAGGAGGAGCTGTAAATTCGCAGTATAAAACATAAATCAGGCGGGAAGCAATTTTGCGCCGGCACAATCCGTTTTGCAATACCAGCAACGTTGTAAAACTAAACCAATGGTTTAGGTGTCTTGTTTTTCCCCACTTTCACAGCAGGGTTGCGAGATTTTGATAAGTCTATGTTTTCCTCGCAGGTCGTGCAGTGCTTAGCCGCAGAGTATCCTTGCAGTGCCCCTTGCAATGTCCAATCCCTGCAGTGCACAACCGCAGGGTATCTAACCGCAAGGTACCCAACGGCGTCCCAATGCCCAGCAGCAGTATTCTGGCAGTACCAAACTGCAGAGTATCCTTGCAGCGCGTAGCCGCAGAGTAGCTTTGCAGTGCCCAGCCGCAGGGTATCAGACTGCAGGATCTCCAATTGCATCCCTGCAGTGCCCATGCACAAAGTATTCCAAAACATGCAACTGCAGTCACAACTGTTTAAAGATAAAATCATGCGCTGTTACTGGAATGTGCTGGTCGCAGAAGATCTGTTTGTTTGCCCAAAATGCACGTGCTACTGAGGATAAGTGGGAGTCCACGTGTGCATTCTGATCTCCCAACACGGAAGCAACATCCCAACCACTTGCAAATTTGGACGACATGGTTGTTGGTGTCCACATCCAACCATATGCAATCGGGCGGCTGAGCTTCCAATGTCAAGAGCTTCGTCTTGGACAAGTTCAAAACAAGCCCGACCTCCCTCAAAGACTCCAGCAGCGATCGCAATATTCCCATGCAACAGGCACTGGAAATTGCAAACAGCAAAATGTCAAATCAAACTGGATCACGGCCTCTTTGCAAACGAAACCCAAAGAAAAACCCATGTTCCTGCCAATCCCACATTGCCTACCCCAGCACCTCGCAAAATAATCGTGGACCTAGAAAACAGCCTGGGCGGATCCCTGCCCAAATGTCAAGTGGTTCGCTCCGATCGTTGTAACTCACCCCTTTCAATGTTAATCTATGCAAAGCCAACATCGGTGAGCTGCCATGTAGATGTTCACATTGCCTGTAGAATATTCGCTGTGTGATCCTTGGTTTGAGGTAACCCCAGAAGGATAACCATTAAGGCATTTTTCCACTCGGCCATTGATCCATACAGAGCGGCAAGAGCACTTGGGAATGAAGTGTGCAAACGACCTTTTGCATTGCTGGTGACTGATATCAGTTATGGAGCGCACGTTGGCAAATTTACAGGTTAGCAGCCGTAGGCATTGCGCAGACATATTTGTATACTGCCAGCGGATGGAAATTCCGGCTCTGCAGATGGTATCCGGCCGCAAGGTATCCAAGTCATCTCGACCGGCGCCGAGCGCGACGCGCGAAGGAGGAGTTGGGAGATGAGTTGGGCTGATGAGCCGGTGCCTCGGGCGCATGTTACAGGGCTGCAGCGGAGTTGGCCGACCTTCTCATTTTGACGCGCTCAAATCCTTCCCGTCACCTTAAGCAAGGTGTGCGGATCGGTACATGACATGCATCGTTCAAGCCGGTGCAGTCTTTGAATGTCTTTGGGTTGAGGCTTAACTGGGACTAGTGACTAGTGAGGCCGTGCTAATTGGGGTCCAGCCCGTATCGCAAAAGTTGATAGTAAACGAGTGGGGTGCATTGTCCGTGCTTTGAGTGGGGTGCATTGTCCGTGCTTTATCTCGGGGGGGCGCTGTTTCATGCACGGTGTCTTCGAAAGAAAAATTGACACTCCAAATTCATTATTCAGCTTATTCCCCACCCTCGCAGTGCGGTTGTAAGATTTTAAAGTAGATGTTGTGCTCGCCCGACTGGAAGCTGACTTTAGTGACCAACCACCAAGTATACTGCAACACCCTCAAGTTGCTTCGATTCTACAATGACATTTGGGAACGTGGGGAGGTCCCTAAAGACTGGAAGGAGGCCATTGTTATCTCCATCTATAA